GACTGACCCGAAGACCCTGCAAAAATGACTGCAGACATTGCTGCGAAAGAGAGGTTGAACTAACCAGGTGCCATCAAGCTGAAGTCAAAGTGACTGAAGGAGTTGATGACGAAGAAATGGAACCAGGTATAGATATTAAAGCAGAGCAGGAGAAAGCTCAAGATTTGAAGCCAATAATTTATTTTCTAAAAGCAAGTGTTTTGCGCCTTGCTTGAGAGAAGGTGTCTAGCTTAAGTTTCGTGTGGACTGTGGTCAGGTTCCTTGAGGAATTAAAAAACTGCGGTTTGAGCACACTTTTGTGTGGAGTTTATTTAAGTCTGATCATTTTATCTATTTTATGTTTTATTAAATAGCTATAATAAATCACACACTCGTGCATTAAATGGGTTATTTGTTCTTGCCCACAACTTTATCCTTATTTTATGTTGTTCTTAAAAAACAACTTACTGTTTTATCGTGTTCTATCATTCGGTGGCTTCTTTTAAATTGCGTGGGTGCCCAATGGGCTCAGAAGTAAGTCTGAAGGCTTACGATGCTAAAAATTGGGTTAAAATATTCGTAGGAAGCAGAACACAGATAGTTCATTCTGTAGCTTTGGGCTAAACAACAACCAAAACAAACTAGATTACTTGGTGAAAATAATGTGAAGTCCATTTCACGTAACAATAACAAGTAGTTTGTTTATTTTATAACGTTCATATAACATTCGTTCACTTTGACACAAGTAGTAGGCCTAAATGTTTCAACAGTACCTCCACAAAATACAACGTTTCAATGTAAACTAATAGACCTACATTTAACAACAAATAACTTAATAAGAGAATAAACGCGATAACTTTCACTGAATGCTCAATAACTTCTCATTAATTACATCACTTTAACTGGTATTGTACTCAGTACTTTATTGATTTTCGTATTTATAATGTATCTTTGTTTCGTTATCCTGTACTGTTTAGGTGTTCTAAGACCACTTTTATAAACTTGGTCTTAAAGTAATGTGCCCTTTAGCAAACATCTAAATTGAAACAACGAAAATATAGCTGACAACAATGCAATTAAGACAACGCCAGTCACAAAGAATTATGACCATAAAGATAACAATTTAAGTGTTTGTTAGTTTTCTTTTTAGACGCATATCTGATTCCTAGGCCCCGAGGTTGTATGAAACTCTTCAGTTTGCGAACATTTAATATTCTTGGATTAAAAGCTGTGGTAAATAGTACAATCCTAAAACTAATGTACGAAGACTGACTTTTACACACATTTGTTAATATGAAATAATTCAATTTTTTAAGTTATTCTTTATCAAGCAGCATGTTATTTAATTTGTTAAAAATTAATGTTTTATAAATATAGTTTTTGTTCGTTCATTTCTTTGTCTCCTTTAATTTTGTGTTTTTGTTTTATTTAATCAGAATTTTTTATTTAATTTAGTAACAATCTAGCTTGTTATTATGGAGTTTTGGTTAAAATTTGAATTTTTATATTAGTTACAACTTACATTGCAGAGAGCGTTATATACTGGCGGCAAAAGTTAGCACAAGATTCAAGTACAGGCTGTGTGTTGTGTTTATTTTTAAAGTTAATGGTTTCTTTGCCTTTTGATTCTACTAAGTCTTAAACAGAAGTGTAAGTAAAATATTTTCAATGTTATTTGTTTGTTTTACGCTATAACATTTCTTGCTATTTTATAAACTTTAAGAAATAATTGAGTTTCACTTTCAGTCTAGTTAACTTAGAACTAAATAGTAAAATTCAATTTCAAGCATTTCAGCATATAACTTATAATTATAATAAGACTTAAAGTGAAACTTAAATTGAACTAAAAGTAAAACGTAAAAAGTTGAATATTAACTACTTTATGATATTAACTCAGTTTCTGAACACCTATTCCCTGGGGTTGCTGTTATATTCCTTCTGTGAATGTGAAACTTTGATTTGAAAGAGAATGATTTGCATTGCAAGAGAAATACTAGGGTCCGAAGGCATATTCCCCAGATAATTTTCTAAATGAGAAATAAAAGATGGTATTTCCTGCATTTTGTTATGCATTTCTCTTATAATAATAGCCTGAACGTACATGTATTTTTTTGTAAAATAACTATGCCAGCTTCTGCAGTATTTATTGATTGTGTACCACTAATTCACATCTGAACACTAAATTATATGTTATTCGGTTCTTCATTCTTGGAATGTGCACGTACACCTTACTTAAATTCACTGCTAATGGAAAATTGCACCTTTAGGTTTTGTATATGAAAGATTAAAGGAGTTTAACTGTTAGTGTTAAGTGTACAATTTCTGATAGTGCAGTACTGTGATAGGTGTAATATGTGTGGTGGTTGCAGGTTATTCACAGAGGCTGTGTTATTTCTGTGATTGAACTTCTTATCAGGAAGGTGATATTCTGGTACTTATGGGTGGGTGAGTGGGTGGAGTTTCCATTATTGTTTCTTCTTATTTTTCATTAATTCAGGGCTAGCATCATGACTCACTAAAATAATCAATATTAGTGGTCTTTTATTATTCCACTATTAAAGTAATCAAACTATTTCCATTATGGTTTCTTCTTATTTTTCATTAATTCAGGGCTAGCATCATGACTCACTAAAATAATCAATATTAGTGGTTTTTATTATTCCACTATTAAAGCAATCAAACTATTTCCATTATGGTTTCTTCTTATTTTTCATTAATTCAGGGCTAGCATCATGACTCACTAAAATAATCAATATTAGTGGTTTTTATTATTCCACTATTAAAGCAATCAGACTATTTCCATTATTGTTTCTTCTTATTTTTCATTAATTCAGGATTGGCATCATGACTCACTAAAATAATCAATATTAGTGTTCCAATTGTTATTATTTTTGAATATTCAAGCTATCCAAGTCTCATGCAAGAATGATCAATTAGTTGAATGTAATCGATTTGTGACCCTGATGATTAATTGGTTATCAAATTCCATTAATTGTCCAGCTCTACCTGCGTTTGGCATTCAGCAGCCTACAGAAAGTTTTCAACAATTAGACCAGCTGTTGTTGCTTACTCTTCATGGCAGAGCTCTGGCAAATCTGTTCAAAACAATGAAATTAGACCATTATCGGCAGACTAGAAAGACGGCTACTCCTTATTTTAGGTGTTTATGATTTCAGAAAGTAGCAAATATCTGATCAGAGTAATTTAAGTTGATGTCAAACAAACTACTGATGAGAAACTTTCAGAATGTTAAGAAAAGTTAGTAAGGAAAAACTCCAGTTTTTAAATCATAACTTTGTGTACACATCAGTTTCTTTTAAATTTACTGGGGATTTTTTGTCCTCTCACACAGCTTTAGGAATCTTAAAAACAGGAAATGGAGTTGCCTTCTCACCACAGACGAAGAACAGTGCAGTTGACAGGAAGCAGAAAGGAATATGATTATCCTCACATTCTTCAGTTTTACAGGCTCCCTCCAATTGGCAGCATAAGTCTCAAAGAATTTGAAGAGTTTGCCATTGAAAGACTACAAGGTTAGTGCATTTTTTTTGTTAACCCTTGTAACCCTTGACGATGGTTGTTAGATGATTAACTGAACTCCTCCACACCTAGAGAATGTAAAATCGTTGTGACATTACATTTGGCTCATCTACTAAAACCAACCAGCTAAAGTCATCTGAAGTCATTGTAATATTTGTTTATCCACTAAAACCAACCAGCTGAAGTCATCGTTGTGACATTACATTTGGTCATCCACTAAAACCAACCAGCTAAAGTCATCTGGTCCACTAAAACCAACCAGCTAAAGTCATCTGATCCACTAAAACCAACCAGCTGAAGTCATCTGAATTCATTGTAATATTTGTTTGGAAGGTGAAGAGCAACATTTCATTTCATTGATTCACAACTTGGCATTGAGTTATACTGGTTTCAAGGAATTCCAACTGTTATCAATAGCTCTGGACAAGGGCAAAAAAACAAGTCAAGTCTTCTTGTAGTGGTGAACTGTCAATTATATGTTTGGTGATTTTAATTGTTTTTCACTCAACACAGTAATTCTATATATACGTAACAGTGATGCTAATAATTTATTCTTCTGAAATATTCCACAGACATGTTGTTTAAGATACCAAAACTAAATATGAAGCTCTCTTACTAGTTTCAGAGAATTAAACTCCTCATCTGTAACTCTGGACAAGAGTAACTCTGCTGAATAATTTAGAAGAACAGATTACTAGCATGTATTCTACATATTCCTATAACAATATAGGTTCACTGTGGTGAGTAAAAGAAATAAAAACACATCCTCCGTATAAATTTCAATTTGTTACTTTAGTTGATAAATTTTCTTAAATTTATGCAATAACCTGGAGAAGACAGACCAAGGTTCTGTCGAAACATCTAATATTTTACTTCAAAAATAAATCACTTTATTATGCTTGTAAATTATTTGCCAACTTGTTTATTATAATAAGCTTATGTTTTTTTCTGTATGATTTTTGTAATTGAGAAAAATTTTCTTTTTCTTACAATAATTTATATATTGTTTGAAAATTTATAGTGATAAATATTTTACTTAAATTAACTTCACAATGCTATTTTACTAGGGTTAACTCAGGCATTTGTAATCTTTAATTTTGTTTGACACAGTTGTAACTTTTTCAAAAAACTTAGAATTTCAGTAGAATGGATGTTTTACAGTTTTGAGAGCAGTTGAACGTGTAGGACTGAAGCACGTGAAATCAACCAACGACTATCGAGATGCATTTTTAGCTGAGTTGACTAAACAAAAATTGAAAGGATATGTAAAAAAAGCAAGTATTTTTTTACATTTCATTGTTTTTTAAACACAACCAAAACGTTTTTATGCCTAAATAGTTCCCCATGTAGAAAGTAACAGTGTCTTCCTCATGTCTGTGTGTGTGTATTTATATCTGTCAAACGTGTCTTACAATACAGTATGTAACTACTGCTGACATATGCTGATTCAGTGCCGCCTTCTATATGCAAATGGTTTTTTGGTTACCACTTACCTTGAGGATCTCACCTAAACGTTTCCATGCGATATTGATGAGTTGCTGCATGTGACAACCCTCCACCACCAGGAATGTGACACACCCTCCTAGCACAACTAACTCTTTCTATAATGAGTGTTCAATCATCAATTTTTGATTTGCCACTCACGTCTAAAGATATGTCTTGCTTACTTCATGTGTTTTGCTTACTTTTGCAGTATCTGCTCGTGGCGTGGACTACAAATTGGTCTGAGGGTCTGATATTGCTTGCAGATTGCTTATTACAGACAACTGGTTTAGGTATATCTAGATACCCATTAAATCACTTGAGTAATCATGAATTATCCACTTTTTTTTTGTCAGAGAACAATGCTAATGAAGTTTACAGTTAACCTTTTTTTTAAAGTAAACTATTAATTCTGGAAAGATATTTACGAAACAGTCCTCAATATATACTGAACTGAGCTTATAATTTTTAATAATCTTTTGGGACAATGTTATTGAAACAGTGTTTAGTGGTCCTGACCTTCTAGAACTAGTACAGTAAGAATAAAAAATGTAATTAAATGTGTGTTCAACTTCGAATTGTGATTTTCTTTATTCTTTTCAGTGACTTGACATGGTATTAAAGTGATCGTATGGTCTTTAGAGGGAGTCTAGGTGTGATTGCGATAAAATGTACAGGGTGCAATGAGTGCCAGATCAGGATTTACTTGGCAATTATGGCCTTGATTGCAATTTTTAGGAAGCTCAGAAAGATAAAGCACATTGATTACAGTTGGAGAACTTGCCGATTTGAAGATTAGGTAGAGATAATTTTGGAGAAGATTGTCTTATTGCAGGTGGGAGTAAGCAGCTTAGGTGTAGAAATCCAGGAAACAAGACAGGAAATGGATAAGTTAGGTTAAAGGTTGCTTTAGGAAGAAACCTTCTGGCCTTATATTAGTGAAAAACTTAGGCTTATAGAGGCAGTTTTAGATACACAAAAGAGTGAGTGATGTCAGAAGCTGTAAATCAGAAGAGCTGCTTGTAAAGTATAAAGAACACATTCAGAGGCTTAGGATAGAAATAGATCTGTGGGCCTCTTGGGGGTGATCCCTCAGGCTATACGTAGGAATGAATTACTTAGTATAATCCAAGGCTTAACACTTTTAGGACTGATGGGTGTTTCTTGGGGTCAAGAGGGTACCAAGGGCATGCTTGATTATCAAATTTCACAATTTAAAAGAAAAATGGTAATTATAACTATTTCATCAACTTTTTTTATGTAAAAACTTGTAAGAGTTGATATTTTGTACCTTTGACAAAAGTATTTGGTGTAATTTGTAAAGAAAGGTTAAAAAAAAGTTTGACCTTGCATTATAGAAAGGGAGTTTAGGAAATGGGAACAGACACTTCTTTAGGATAACTAGGGCAACAAGGAGTTGGAAGAAAGGAGATTTAGAATTTAACAAGTTAAATATAAGTTTTACAGATAAATCTGTCAAATTTGAAGGTAAATATATAGTACATTGAAGAATAGGTTTACTTGTTGATGTTCTAATGTTACAAGTATTTGTTAAAGTGAAAGGTTAATACATAATGGGAATTACTGACGCTATATTAGATTTGAAAAACATTGATAATATGAATTATTTTTAAATTCCAGGTTATAAGTTATTTAATTATTATAGAAGGTGTGATAAAGGATGAATTGTAGCCTGTTGAAATTGAGGGTGTGCGAAATAGTAGTTCAGATGTTGAAACTATATGGGTTACACTCAGGGATTTCCGGGTCAGATAGTTTTTAACTGGCAATTATTAAAGGCCATTTGACCAGACATATGAGGTCAACATGAACTTGTATATACACTTGTTGCAGCACATTCAAGTTTACACAACATAAAAACATGTTACTACAAAGGTCTCATTCTATGATTGCTCGACACTAGCTGCCTCTGCTGCATGAGTGCAGTTCCATCATCATCGGTGGCATAGTTTGTCATACTCGTGCAGTTTTTAGTGATATGAAAAAGCTACTTTTCAACAAGATGCAAAAATACTCATGTAACTAGAAATTACAATCAGGAACGAAACAGCAATTTAAGTGGCTTTCTTGGAATAAAAAATGCTTGCATTTGTAAATGCTGCATTCTGTCTAATATGTGGAAATTGCATTTGAAAAGCATGAGAAAACAGAAACCACAGAAAAATGTTAATGCATTTACCGATACAGGGAAACTAATACACTGTTAACCCAAGTAGGGAACTTAAAGAATTTGAAATAAAGTATAGTGTCTCGACAGCTTGTCACTGTAATGTTCGTCAACCAGACGGAATTATTAATAGCAAGTTCTGGTAAAGGAAACATTCTTGAAAATTGTATCGTGCAAAGTGTATGTGCCTAATAAAAAATGTTGTTTCATTGTTATTATTTGAAGAACTAATCGATAACCTAATATACAAAAATATTCATTGCTAACGATGAATCTACAGATGTGAGTGTAACAAACTTTTGTGTTTGTGTGTAAGAAAGTGCAGAAAGTACAAACATCTTTCCTAGGTTTAATTCCTGTCATATCTACAACATGTGAAAGCCTATTCAATGCTATTAGAGATTTTTTAAACTTTAATAATATTAATATAAGCTGTTGCATTGGTTTAGGTACTTATGGTGAAAACAATGTCAGTGATGGTTTTAATTCAATTCTTTCAGGGTTTAAGAATGTCAATCCTAACATTAAATTTGTGAAATGTACTTGTCACAGTTTAGTATTGTGATGTGGAAGTGATATAAAGATTTGCCTTCCAACTTAGATTACCTGATTTCTGAAGTTTCTCACTGGTTCAGTTTAAGTTCTTTACGTCGAGAGGAATACAAAAAAGTATATGCCACAATGAATGATGGAAATGAACACTTTGACAATTTTGTTACACCAAGTAAAACTCGATGGATTGTGGGAGGAAAATGCATATGAATAATTTTAGAACAATGGGAAGAACTTAAAGTTTACTTCTGCTCAATTCTTGACAGAAACTGAGAGAAATGATGAAGTTAACAAGCTTTATTTTATCTTTCCTTGTACAATGATTCAAAATACTTAATGCTGCATTCCAGGCATCAAATCCTCATCACAACAAGTTATTTCAAGATCTGAAGAACTAAGAAATTTTTTGTTTCACAAAGCGTGCAAAAATTTTCATCAGAGGAAATTGCCTTTGTCATTAAGTGATGGTAAACTTGGAGAAAAATTTGAACAAGTCTTAAAATATAGCAAAACAAGGAGTGATAAAAAAAACTAGTCAATCAGCATTCAACTAGACATTCGAGCCAATAAACTGATTGATGAAAGAGTTGATAAGACAACAATAAAATTGGAATGTATGAAATATTTTAATCCTAGTGTTTGCTATAGCCAAATTAAGCCGTGATTCATGATCTTCACCTTGAACAGAAGAAAATTTTGATATAATGAAAGTGGCTAATCAATATGAATGCATCTCTATGAAAACTAATTGGTGAGAGGAATCCTGCTCAAGTCATCCATTAATCGATACACGTGATAGCGTTCCCCAGTTACAGGTTAACAAAAATGACGTTTAAATAGGGAGTGTTTGGTTTTGAATAATTTGAGTTCATTATTGTATAGATGAAATAGTATATATAAGCATCGGATGTTTACTTATATTGTCGGCGCTGTTCAGCTTTGAATAATTTGAGTTCGTTAATGTATTTATAAAGTCGCATTTTTGAACATCGGATGATTACGTATTCTGTTGGTGGTATTTGCTACTGTAGCAAATTTGTTTGTATTTGTTTGTCTGATGCTCAAACTCGGTTTTGCATAATGATTTTTTTTCTTGCAACTTCGGCTGCCAAATATCCACTATATTGTGCATGCGTATCCAGATGTAACCATTTCCACTATTGATCGATCACATAAACTGCATGAAAAACTTACTTGATATACTGGAAGATTTTGCAAGAATCAATTCATGGATTTGTGTCAAAATTCTAACCTTGCAGTTATTGGAAAAGGTTCAGAGAAGGATTACTAAGATGATTCTAGGGATGGAGAGATTGTCTTATAAGGAAAGTTTAAGATCTATTAAATTATCTTATGTTGAGAAGAGAAGGATAAGAGGTAAACTTGTAGAAGTTTACAAGATCATCCAGGGAATCAATAGGATGAAAAGACAAAATTTTAAGATTTGGAAATGACAGATTAGGCTCCAGTTAAATGTTTTTATTTTTATAACAGAGAAATGTTCTTATAGAATGAGTTGCCTTTAACATTAGTGGAGGCTGGCACTTTACAAAACTTTAAAGGATGGGTTTAAGCATTATTTTATTCAAGGATAAGTGTGAAAGGGCATCAAAATGGACCAAATGGTCCGTTGTTGTCTTTATGCTAACTTCACTACTTACTGAATACATAATTATAAGTTGACTAACAAATCAGTGAAGTACACAACAGGTTTGATGAACAGTAAAAATTGTAATATTTTACAGGGACTTCAAAATGAACAACTTACCGATGATATGTATGATGAACGAAGAAAGGATCACATATCACACTTCATTCTACGTTTGGCATACTGTAGAACGTAAGAAAGTTTTTTAGTAGGTGGTAATTTTGCGATACTTTAAGCAGGGAACAATAGGCTGGTAACTAACTTTTGAAATGATGGAGAATATATTGGGAAGCTAAGCTAGAAGAAGTATTTTACAGTGCCAAAAATGTTGAATTGAGTTTTTTAGTACTAAAATAATCAGTTTGCAAAATGTTTTAAAGCATGTAGATGTTATTTATACATAAAAATAGATCGAAACCATGTGAAAAATACACGCACTTTATTATTTTAGTATCAGATGTTAGCATTTAAATGTAAGTATATAAAATGTAAATTTTAAATATTGCAATTTGAAAGATTAAAGATTTAACCTTTTTGACAGTAACAAGTTTTTATTAATCTACATTTTACTACTCATGGGTTATAATTTTAATGGTGTTTTTTTTTAAGAGAGTGTTTCCATTTTATTTCTTGACTAAAATAATTTTTTTTTACATTTACAGATTTTTGAAATTTTAGAAATATATTTACCATTTCAGCACTTAAAGCTGAGGTAATAGGCCAATATGTTATTCAGTTAGAGCATATTTGTAATATTTATAAAATTTATGAATTGTATTTTTAAGTGGATTTTTTTTCACAGTGAGGAGCTGCGTCGGTGGTTTATCAGTCAAGAATTGGACTTGTTTCGGTTTCGATTTGTTACAGAAAGTGAAAACTATGATAGTATGGAACACTTTTTCAAACTTAACAATCTAGATTATGCCCCTGTAAGTCTAAATATGTTTCAATCGGCTGATTATTTATCAAATCTGTACGGTTTTAGTCTTGTGTAAATTGAATAGTTGCAGTAGAAACATTTAACATTTTATATTTGGTTTCCGTTTACATTCTGGTAAACAGTAATTGTTTATCTTTTTTCCATATGGTAAAAGAATTTGAAGGAAATTAAAAGAAACAATTTTAAAAACTAATTTTCACTTTGTACTGATGATTAATTTGCCCATTTAGGATCTTTGTTATTCTATTTGTAAACAACAATATATCTAGCAGTTTGGGAAAATGTTAAAATTATTTTTCAGTATCAGTGTTATTTTATCTTAATGTGATACATAATTAAATCTCAATAATACATATTTACAGCACTTATCAGTATGTTTTGTATTTTGATCAGTTATATTAACCCTCAATTGTTTTGTATTCTGATCAATTATATTAACCCTCAGTTGTTTTGTATTCTGAGCAACAATTGAGGGTTAATATAAGATCAGAATACAAAACAATTGAGGGTTAATATAATTGATCAAAATACAAAAAGTTATATTAACCCTCAATTGTTTTGTATTCTGACCCATTATATTAACCCTCAATTATTTTGTATTCTAATCAGTTATATTAACCCTCAATTGTTTTGTATTCTGTACCATTATATTAACCCTCAATTATTTTGTATTCTGATCAGTTATATTAACCCTCAAACTATCGACTTTTATGCACCTTTCACTACCGTGGAATCCACATATTGCATTATAATGAATGGTTTTATGTTTTTGCTTGTCATAAAATATAAAAATTGATGAACTCACACATTTTTTGTGTGAAACACATAGAAAATCCTAGCAGAATTTAGGAGTATTAACCACAATATTGATATTGTTTTTAAAATATGTGTGCAAGACTCCTGTTATTAGAAATGCTAGAACAAAAAAGTTCAGAAGCTACGAGTAACTTGGTGGACAAGTAATTTATAAAATATATATATTTAATAAGCCAATAAGAGTATGGGTGGACCCTAACGTTAACGGTTTTAACATATGTTGTTTTTGGTTTTTTTCTCCAGATTTCAGGTGAAGAAAAAAGTAAAATTGCAAGTGAACTTAGAGATTCTAGCTTTAGTCTTTCTGATCACAAGGTGAAAGACATAAAATATTACAAGGTAAGGATTAGAATTAGATTTATAAATAGCAAAAGTAACGTATTGAGCTGTATAATGTAAGGTAAAGATGTTTTGAAACAAAGTGATGTGGAAGGAAAAGTAATGTCATTATATCATCAGGGAGACGTTCTAATGTATGTAAGGACATTATATATCTTTTTCTGTTGCCTTGGAGCAGCAGTGGGTTTTGATGGGCCTAACTGTTTTTTTTTATAATAGATTGTAATTAAAATTTTGTGTTTTTTTTTATGGATACTTGATATTTGAAAAAGTGACCGTTATTGACCACATGTAACAATTGGTATAAGAATGTATCTATTTGATCTATTATATGGTAGTTATCGTTAAAGAATAATTAGTATAGATATAAAACTCTTCCTTGGTTCAATGTGGGTTTAATTCTTGTATTAGAAGAGTGTCTTTCTAATTTTTCATTTGTTTACTTTGGTTTCTTTACTTAATATGTTGGTGTTTGGTATGGTTATACTGTGGTTATTTGAGATACAATGTTCAAAAACACAAGAGGGCGTATTTTTTGTGTTCATTGAATCTAGGTTCCGTATTTGTTTTGTTTCTCTGATATAGGAATTATAGAAATTGTTGCATTGTATTTTATAAATAACATTAGTATCGTGTTTGTCAGATTACCAGATTAAAATCTATAAAAACTTGATCAAATATTATTTGTCACCTGATGATGACCTAAGGAGGTCAAAACGTTGTACTTGTTTTGTATTTAAAATAAAAGTTTTTAATACCCATATCAACTGTCTCTACTATGTATGTATTTACTTCAAGTGGGTCCCTCGCCATGAGATACATCTTAATTTGTTGTTTTTAAGGATTCTGTTGCCTAGAACTTCAGTTGAATTCCATCTTTATTTAATGTCTACGGTAAAGCAGATGAATCCTTGTCTCTGCTTTAGATTTTTTTATTATTTAACTTTTTTCATTAAGTTTACCTGATGTTACTTTGTTCTATATAAATTTCTTAAAACTTTATTTTGAACTTCATAGACTTAGACCTAGCTGAAACGTTTTTTTATTATAGATTTGAAATCTCTTGGGAAAAAGAAAAATTAGCTAAATGTGCAAGATATAAATAATAGGATAAAAAAAAAAACAGAACATACTAGATGCCATGAAACTTAGATTACTATCTTGTTTTTATCATTTGCTACATATTATATCATGTTCACTAATTTTATGTTACAAAACTGACAAACAAAATAGGTTAAGTAATTCATTTTCTGTTTAGTTGGGAAATTTTGGCATTGGTTAATGGACTTAACTACAGTATCGATGATTTTATTTATTATATTCCTTGTGTAGCTCACATGTTATTAAATACCCTGTATTAACTGTATTATGGGTCATGGGCCCATAAGTATTATGATTAATAAATAGTTTAGAAAATGGCATTAAAAATTCATATCAACTCCCATTGGTTGACTTAGAACAAACATTGTTTTCTTGGTTTATACAACTAAAGAATCATATTTCAACTTTGTGATTATATTTTTCCAGATATTTTAGTATGTGTAGAGTATTGTGTAATGAGGTGGTTAAAAAGCTAAGTATAAGAGTTCGTGTGGTAGTGAAATATATTTCAGGGAATTATTTAATCTGATAGTATTTCTTCACAGGTTCCATTCTTAGAAGCTCTAGACTTGGTACGAGGTCGTAAGGTGTATTTAAACAAAGGCTACGTGTACATTCCTCGAATGGATCTTGTATCGGTTGTTTTAACTGTGTTTCGTAATCACCTCTCTCATGCTTTAGCTGTAAGTACAAGCCTAAATCATTTAAACTAGTAACTATAAAATATATTCTGTTCTTTCTTTATGATGTTACTTTTTGATCATCATCGATTAGGATATAATAATTGATTTAATGTAATTAGTTTTATTTATTATTATATTTTAATCAGAAATAAAATTTTTCATTGTTAGCTTGATATGTGGATTTAGGACTACCCTAAAACTATACCTCACAAGGTATTATTGGGATTATGGCCAAAGGTATCGCTAACAATGAGGGTACCTAACTGATTTTAAAGTAGTCCTTATAAGAAAGTAAGAAGAATCTATTTAATTATGTTACTGGCTAGATTTTTTAGTTCCAACCTATGTAAGAAGTTTTCTTTGATCAAGAGTTAGTGTTAACAGTTATATTAGTATCATTAATGTAGAAAAGGTTTTTCTTGACCCATATAATTTGTATATGTAACTTTGCTGACCATTGGTCATTCTTCTCTTGTGGCTTGCAACTACACAGGTTAAAGGTCCTGATCCTCTTACTTGAAGAGTGGTTGACCTATAGTTGATCCCTTCTAAAGCAAGCTCTCGTACTCCCGATATAAAAATATTAATGCTTTGAAGAACAGAATGTTACCAGTAACACTAAACTTGGATAGTCTGTCATTAAGAAGGAGAACAAGAGATTACTACCAGTTGTATATCTGAAATAGCAAATGTGTTAAATGGTAGTAAGGCTGGAACCACCATCTTGGAATTATAAACAAGATATTTGAAAGGATTTTAAGATAAAACTACATTGTCGAATAAATACTGATTTTCAAAAGCTACACAAGCAGTGTTTGGTACATATTCATCAGGAGGGATACTGGCTGAATTCCATAAGAATTTGTTTGGAGAAAATGTTCTGGAAGAGTACAGATATTAATCTGGGACGTGTTAGGAAAAAAAAAAACGACGAGTATAGAAAAAACATAATGCTCCTGAACGCATTAGTTAGACTAATACAAGGCAGGGGGCGTGTAAAATCTAACAGAATATTAACTCATATTTATATATATATATATATATTATTACTACAAGTCTAAAGAGATCTTGGATTCACTAGTTAAGCCTCATTTGGACTATTGCTCTTCTTATGTTAGGAAGAACATTGATTTGTTGGAGAGGATTCAAATGTGGGTTCCTAGGATGATTCTGGGGGAGAGTGGGTCATCATATGAGGATAGATTATAATCTCTGGAAGATAGATAAGGGTCAGTTTTGAACTTTTTCAATATTATTAATGGAATTAATAGAGGCAAGAACTTAAAGGAATGTAAAGAAAGTTGATTTATGGGGATCAGGGCTGGATTTATTGATTGTTAAAGAAAGTTGATTTATGGGGATCAGGGCTGGATTTATTGATTGTTAAAGAAAGTTGATTTATGGGGATCAGGGCTGGATTTATTGATTGTTAAAGAAAGTTGATTTATGGGGATCAGGGCTGGATTTATTGATTGTTAAAGAAAGTTGATTTATGGGGATCAGGGCTGGATTTATTGATTGTTAAAGAAAGTTAATTTATGGGGATCAGGGCTGGATTTATTGATTGTTAAAGAAAGTTGATTTATGGGGATCAGGGCTGGATTTATTGATTATTTTTCTGGTTTTTGAGGATTTTTTGGTATCAGGATGAGTCAAATAAAAGAACCGTCAATATCTAAGTTATAGTAGATATATATTAAATAGAGTCTTACAGTTGTTGATCTACTTACAATCTTTAGCTTCTTGACATCATTGCTGAATACAGTCCTGTGTTGTTTTTGAATCATTATTTATGACAGATCTATATATTTTATATTTATATGTAATCATTTCATACAGTTCCCTAGATATATATTTTTGTTTTGTTACGTAGACCATTGTCGAGGGTAATCCCATATTTTTTGTCAATTTAATTAGATGGCTGCACAAGTTTAAAAAAAATACAAGAAAATTCTGTATTGTATTAAATTTAATTGAACTCCAAGGCTTTTTCCCTTTATTATTTGAAATTTGACATTTTATTGAATACAGACACATTGGGGTTGAGAATTTCTATATCAATATTTTTCCAATGTTACTGATCTGAACTGTATGAAATGATTGACGTAACAGTTAATATTAGAGCTGTCTCTTTATACCACTCTTTATACCACTTTTTATTTCAGTTTCTTTTGTTTTACTTTTTTACTTGTTAATGATGAAGAGTAATTTGATGGTTAAGGTTACGTCTCGAGCCCTGCCTCAGTTGGAGGAAGACGGAAGATTACTAAGTATGCTGAATGGCTTGAATCAGCGGTATCTTGGTGATGATTATTCCAACAGTAAGAGAGAGGGTCAAGAGGGTCAAGTTTCTCCTCAGATGGTTGATGCAGTGAGTAAAACTGATTTAAAAGTACAAATGATGAAATATAAATTCTAGCTATCAAGAAGATTGACAGTATTGAATTATTAATTACACTTCCTTCTTAACCTTATGTACACGAGTGGGGGTCAAAGTGTGTGTCATGACTCTTACAGAGTTGCATTCAATTTAATTAAACTTTGTTATCAATGCATGTTAACAAATTTGGCATAAAATTTAGCTTATAATTCTAGTTTTATTGTTACATAAGTTCCTAATTTAAAGAGTAAGTATTTAAATAAATTTTCTGTTTTTACTTCCGTGTGTTATGTGATACCTCTCTGCTCTGAATTATCCATCTTAGATTTTCTTTCTTACCTTATATGGGTTTCAGATTGTTCACCAGTTAGATACACCAACTGTATATATATATATTGATTGGTCAGAACTTAAAATAAGAAATTTCCACGTTCCTTATTTTCTGAGATGTTGATACATTCTGTACACTCGCTACAGAAACTCCGTCCAACTCTTCATTCGTGTTAGGATGGAGACAATAACAGATAAAAACAACTTTTGGTGTTAATTTACTAGATTTTAGAGGTAAATTTCAACTGTAATATTAAAAAGATGTGATTTTCATGTTAAGAATGAAAACATCTTGAGAGTCAAACTGATTAAAGTAAATTTGGAGACATATCTTTAGCAGAAATACTTTATTAAAAGTTTTTTTTATGCATAAGATACTTGCAATTTGTACTAAAAGTTTACTAAATGTGTGAAGGTACATTAAGTAAATTTGGAAATAGAGAACCGATAGTAAACATAACATTTGCTCTTTAGTATGAGGTCGGTCCACTAGATCTATCCTGTGCTCATAGGGTTAAGGGTTTTAAATCCCTGAATCATTACTATCAAATTATCACATTAAGTCATCAACTCATAAACTTCACTTCCTGAGTAATTACTTTCGTAATCAGAGTATTTCAGAAGAAATAGAAAAATCAGAAAAAGTTAAAGCACATTAAGAGTAATTATTTGTTTTTACAGTTTAAATGAAAACAAATCCATTATTAAAACCTTGAAAGTACTCGTGCATTATTAAACTACTGTTAATGTTGTTTCGTCAGTTACTCTTGTTCTAATACTAGTTTTTAGATGATAAAAAAACCAAGATTGACAAGTGTCAAAATCTGATACATAAAGTTTCATTCTTTCGTTGCTGAAATACTGGCAAAATTACGGAAAGCTAAACTTTGTTTTTAACTTTTGTTGCTCAAATGCCCCAATATTTCCTATTTCATAAGGAGGAAATTCTGAGGCAACAAAGTGTGTTTTGTTATTCAAATGTTGATGTATAGCTGCATTGGTTTGCTAAAATCTGATAGAACCAGTTTTATTTCACTTGTGAATTTTGTCTTAATCGTCAGTCGTTATGATAATACCCAGCTGATGAAAGTTAAAGTTTGATGCAGAATTTTGTTTCATTCTTCACATTAACAAAGTCCAATTTTTTTTTACTTTCAACATTGAAAATCATTAAAATATAAAACATATATGCTTTAGATATTCTTTAGATAACTTGTTTCAGGCTTAAATGTACCTGTGTCTTCAGATTGATCAGTACTGTCACTAGAATTGTTTAACTGAATAGCACACAAACTTTTTAATTTTGATGAAAAACAGATATTGTTCGTGTTTATTTTTTAGTTGGCCAAATCGTCCTTTCCCCTCTGCATGCAGACACTTCATGAGACACTGAGACAAAGTCACCATCTTAAACACGGAGGGAGAATGCAGTATGGACTTTTCCTCAAAGGTATCGGATTAAGTCTTGAGGATGCTTTAAGGTTCTGGAGGGAAGAATTCGTCAAGATTATAGATAGTGATAAGGTGCGTGAATTACGACATTCACTGTAGTTTTATCATTTACATTTATTCAGACATCTTATCTTGCAGGCCGCCAACTTTCATCCAGATGTAGGTTATAGTAATTTACCTAGAAATTGTATTTTGTTTAATACACTTATTTAGAACTGTAGTGCTATTTTTGTAATAGTTATGGAAGTTTGGAATTTTACTAACTTTTCATTAAATATCTATGTATCATATCAAATGACTGCTAAAAATTTACTTTGTTAATGTTATATCCAGATTATCTTTTTTTGCACCTTTGATATTTATTATTAGTATACATTATTACAACCAAAGCATTTTTGTGATTATTACGTAGGTCTCTCTGTCTCAAACTAAAATTGTTTTACACATTATTGCTTCAATTGGAAAGTTCTTTTGTAACGTTCAGTAAAATTTTACGGTTTTGAATTACACTATTACATTACTTTTATGGTAACATACTGATTGTTAGTCATATTTTATACTAGTACATTACTGCTCGGATCTGTTATAATGTAAAGAATTCCATGACTCTTGACCATATTTTATACCAGTACATTGCTGTTCGGATCTGTTATAATGTAAAGAATTCCATGACTCTTGACCATATTTTATACCAGTACATTGCTGTTCGGATCTGTTATAATGTA